AAAAAAAACAACAAAAAGGAAAATTATGGGTGGGGGTTAAAAGGTTAATCATCAAGTAAAGTAACAATCTGAAATTAGTTTTGCGGTACCTTTAGGACCAACTGGACCTCTGGATCCTTCTGCTCCATTTTGTCCAGGTATTCCAGGCTCTCCAGATGGACCTTGTCGGCCAGGAGGTCCATCTTTACCTGCCGAACCAGGCGGACCGGGGCGGCCAACTGAGCTCTTGATATGCGCAGGCTGCATTTGAGCCATGAGGTAAGCTAACTTAGCTGTGAAAATCAACGGAAAGTTTAGGAAATGTAAAAAGACACAGCAAAGGAAGTCAAAAACATCTTTGCCAAATTAATCTCACCATCCAACTGTTTGGAGAGTTCCTCTTGAATGAGCCGCCGCATTTGTTCCAGGGATGGCGTCTCACCCTTAAAACACGTCGAAATGACGTCATGCTCTTTATAATATCATTAGCGTCACACACTTTCCATTAAAAATACTAAAGCAGACTCACTCTGAGACCTGGGAGACCCGACTGTCCTGGAGAACCAGGGGGCCCAGAGGGACCCACTTCCCCTGGGGGTCCCGACATGCCCATCATTCCTGTGTGACCCTTCCTGCCGGGAGGCCCAGGGTTACCCGGAATGCCCGGATCACCAACGGGTCCTTTGTCTCCTTTTATTCCATTATCACCCTACAAAAACGAGCAACACAGTAAGTTTTGATTTGATTTGAGAGGTGGTATATGTGGATGGATGGACAGATACCTTTTCTCCCTTCTGTCCTCTGTCTCCTGGTTTTCCTGACATGCCCTAAAAATAAAAACAAAAATACATGGCCAGCTGAAAAAATTATGAAGAAGTGTTGATATAATATTAATTAATCATCACTCACTTGTTTGCCCTCTGGGCCAATTGGACCAGACGGACCCTGAGGGAAAACACAAGTGTAAATATAGACAGGCAGATAGCAAAAAACCTTCATATCCACTTGGGACTGAGTGCTTTCAGCTTCTATAGATTTACAAGGCTTGTTTGTACAAGTATAGAAGCTTAACTTTATTAATTAAACTGAGATTCCCATAAGTCCCAAAGCAACATCTCCACTCACCGATGGCCCTTTTGGACCTGGGAAGCCGGGTAATCCTGGACTCCCTGCTTCACCTTTGTGTCCTG